TATGCTGACGGGTTTGATGGAATTTTCCAGATATCGGTAGGTCAAAAATGGGCCAAGGCAGAAATGATTTTTTTTTTTGGTAAGGAGGGGGGGGGGGGTGATTCCAGTTACCATTGAAACACGCTGTGTCGTGTTATGGCCTTCAAAAGAATATATCGGTCGTCTGTGAAAAAATCAAACAATGGAAAACGTAAAGAAAAATTGTCTGAAATTTCTTCATGATAGGAGATTTAATGAGGTAGAGATAAACATAGAGAGAAAGCGGCGCAGGAACCAACTGGAAAGTTATTAACAAAGAGTATGAAAGAATATAAAGGCATTGCGGTTTGTACTTCGCATCACAATAAAAGTTGAAGTCGATACTATGCGCACCTATGTACCATAAGATTTCACACATACATAAATACATATTAAGTAAACTGATTAATACCCATTTCCTTACATCCTCCCCCCCCCCGCCCCAAACAATACCACTTTATCAAAGTGGGCAAGAAATATGGTGATGACACCGTTTCCAAGCTAACAACTGGATGAAAATAGATAAATCAAATCTGCCAGTCACATCTGCATGTCGCGGTGTGAGAGTGCATAACATCCCTGTCCTTTTTTTAGCCATCTTAGATGAGATGACTATACTGTGCCCTTGAAAAATCTCAAGGTGACCCACGCTGCCAAGTAAGAAAACAACCCGTAAGCCGGGACCTGCCATGACTCGGTGGGCAGTAGTTGGACCTGACTGACCTTTGGCTTGAATGGTTTCGCTAATGACCACAATCAAATGTTTAGAAGGGGATGAGTTGGCAGATATAGTTGTTATAATGTAGCTTAGTGTTTTGTAGTGAAATATAGTCACATTTTTATATATTTATATGTAGGCCTATATATATACAGGCTGGCGCGTAAGATTCAATAAATATTCCTATATGCAACTACATTACGCAGCTCCCTCTTGTGGCAGATAATCACCCTAGTGTCCAAGGTTTACAGTCCCCGGGTTGTTACCTCTTCACATTTCAACTGAATGAAAACTGAATGATTAAATCGCTGATCAAATTAAATTTTCGAAAAGTTAAAAAAATGGACAAATATAATGCACATCCATACAACACGGAATGCCGTATGTATGATTAATTCTGCAAGTTTGCCCTATAGTGATCCATTAATAAATCAAACAGTAGGCCTAACCGTTGAAATCGGTTAACTTCGTTTTAATCACAAGAAACGAGCTGCCTAGGAGGAGGTCTTGGCTTTCTCCGTGATTTTTCCAGTGAAATTTTATTGCTGTTCCATTTGCTTCCCACTGCAAGCTGGGCCTTCAGTCCACTACCCCCAGCCGGGACCACATATTGATTTTCTCACTAGATATTCACGGATATTCCTCTGGGTTATCATGTGCACTTTTCTGTACTGTGAGCATTTGTGTTTAGAATCGACGTGATCGATCAGCTGGTGTCTGGCCAAGAGTAACAACCCACTATCTCCAGTGTTCCTCACCCCCCCCCCCCCCCAGGTCTTCCTGAGATCTCTGCAGCTGTGTGCCGTGTGTCTGCTGTGCTTGGAGAAGATTGCAGTAGTTGGGATAAAAACATGGAGTATAGGGGTACAGTTGTGCTAGGGAAATACAGGGTTACCACTTAATATGGAGTATTATTTTTTGGCGAGTAAATTTTCTACAAAATATTCAATGTCTCTCTAACTACTTTAAATCCAAAGCGGAGGTGTCACTCCATGTGTAGCCAGGTGTGTTACCTATTTACCACACAACTCTCGAAACAATTGATGTATGCAGTTGCATGTTCTGTGGTCAGAAATGTGAGGGGTGGTATTTTCGGCAATTTCTGCCCTTGTATAAAAACGCATGGGTTTGGTCAATCTTTGGAGTGTGTTTAGAGAAGCAACAAAGGGATCGCTCTGAAACTTGACAGGTACTTTAGTGAAGATATGGTTCGACAGCTAAGCAACGCAGCTTACTATGGGATTCTTGCTCTCAGAGAAAATGGCCAGAAACGGACAGCCATTGCCAGGTAATTCTACATTTATCAGGAACCGTTTGTGAAGTCCTCCAAAGAAATGCTGCAACAGGAGCACCTACTCCAATACCTCGACCAGGGTGTCCGCGTATCACACCAAGAAGACAGGATTGCTTTCTCCTTAGAGGACGCCGTGCTGGTCGTACAAAGACAACCAGTGTCCTCAGAAAAGAGAGGCAGAATGTCATTCAAACGCCAGTTTCAAGGTCCCTCGTGAACAAGAAATTACTGCAAGTCGGTTATTTTGCACGAAGGCCAGTCGGGAAACCACTGTTAACAGCAGGTCATATACAGCGACGTCTGCAATGGGCTGGGGACCACGTGCGTTTGCAGCCAAAACTCTGGAATCACGTCGTTTTCAGTGATGAGGCCAGATATGGATTTTTTTAGGGTTGATCGTCGAATCCGTGTCCACTGACGTGTACGAGGGGCATAAAACGATGACTGTGTACTGCCTAGGGTGCAAGCAGGGGATGGTAACGTCTCTGTTTGGGGAGCATTTCATGTCGGTGCCCAGAACCAGATGGTTTTTCTAGGAGGCAACCTCATCCAGGATTCCTACAGAGACATTCTACAGCAAACAATGCTTCGATTGGTAAGAGTCATCTTCAGGAACAACTTTGTGTACCAAGACGACTGCGCAACCCTACATCGAGGCCGCAGAATCACTGTTTTTCTTCAAAACCAATGGGTTCAGCAACTGCCCTGGCCTGCAAACTCTCCAGATATGAACCAATTTGAAAATCTGTGGGCGGAAGTAACTCACAGAATTAATAGCTATGGTCCTCGGTCGGTAAATAGTGATGAACTGCGACAGGCAAATATCACTACGTGGAATTATATCCCCACCCAAACTCTAAAAAACGTGTCACAGGGTACGCCATGTTGGATGAGGGCGCTGCAAGCGGCAGCTGGAGGTCATACCCGCAATTACTGACTTTTCATGATTTACTGTAGTGAGTTCTTTGACTGTGTAACATATCACTGTCCGGAGGCTATCATTTTCTTTAATATCTTATCTTAAAGTTTATACTGACACCAAACTGTTGATATGGTTTTCTGGGGGTGTTCCTTTCTTTTGAACGGCATCTTATGTCAGATTTGTTATCATTGACCAAAATATCTCACAACAGAAGACTGGATGTTATTATCACTCAGTGACATACTTTTTTAATAACTCAAGCCAAAAAAAAAATTAATCAGCATTCAAAAATAACAAAGATAAAAAATATTTCATATTAAGTAGCAACCCTGTAAGGGTATATCCTCTACCAGAGCCACAGCTTAATTTTTCACAACCAAACACCTTAACTTCGCCACCAATTTCACCTTAAAAAGATGTAGTAACCATCTTTTAAAAGTGTGTGAATTGTCTTTTCATCTTCATTGTTAGGTAAAAGAGTTGGCCGTCCACTATTTTCCGGTCAAACACCCTCAGTCCATTATAAGAACTGATTTCAATCATTTAAACTAACGACATGTATTTCTAGTTTAAAGACGCAATAAAGAAATAAACAAACAAACAAATAAATAAAAAAGGAAGGAAGACCCCACCAGGCAGGCACGTCAAAGGGACCCTTCCATGACTGAAGATTAGGGCCCCTCCTCGTGGAAACCTTCCAATTTCCTCGTAATTTCCCAAACCTTAAGTGCCTGTTCGTCCCCGTAATTGATCTTTAGGCCTAATCATGAGCTTTGCTAAAGGTCATCTAACTCACTAGAAATGTTCCAAGACTCAAACATCGATTCATGCAAATAACATCTATAAATGCCGAGGTATTGGAGATAAAAAACGAAAGTTAAAGTTGTTTAAATATGTTTAAAAAAAAGAAACGATTACGTCCACATGACCTGACGCAATTATACTATCAAATGGATAATTCGATCTGTGAACAGTAACAAATGCACAGGTGCCAAATACACAGGTGTCAAAGCATCCACCAGGTTAACTAGAGACTGGTCACATTCACGCTTGGGTTACTAACACCTGTCGTAAATCAATTTGAATTACGATGGGTTCTGACTCGGTACAGCTCTAGTCCATTTGTGAGACGCTTCTTTCCTCCAATAATAGCTCCCACCAATTGATTGCACTGCACGCTTTGTGCTTGTCGGCATGATTGCAATCGACTGTACATTCAATCCGCCAGGCCGTGCGGTATTTAGATCGATTCAAAGCTAGTTAAAAATGTCAAATTTATGCACACTGGTAGTTTAAAAACCTTCAGATACTCTGTCTGGATATATAAGTGTTTGAGACCACCCATCCAGTTAAATATTACGGGATGCCAGGAGGATATACTGTCTACACTCTGTGTGGTGTGAACGCACCTAGTGATATCGAATCAACGATAAGTCATCGAAAATACAATTAGTAACGAGCAGAGGCCCCCACCTGGTATTGACATCTTCTCTTTGTGTGGTGCTTCTGGAGCGAGATCACATCCCTTCGTCAACTCTTTGGCGCGACAGATCGATGAAATAACTAATAATATCACTCGATAGATCCTTCTTTTGATGAAGTTGCTCATATCATATCCGAGGTGCACGGGATACAGTCTGACACGTGGGTTTTGCGTCGTGATGGTGTTGTTGTGCGCGACCAAAAACTGACATCAAAGGGCTTGCAAGACCATCGGGCAGGGTGTGCGTGGTTTTATGACCCCTCTGGATTTAATATCTTCGCGAAATCTAACATCTGACATCAGAGAGGATTTTGTATTGTAAATATCCAACGGACGAATTATCGCTAAGAAACACTTTAATAATCAGATTTTACAATGGAATATACAACCCAGACACAACGGTTGCCTTGGAAAGTTCCTTTTTATGTTTGAAATATCATAATTATCGTTTCACATTGCGTTCATATTGATTCGATATCGTTTCTATGGCCATTGTATTTCAATCAGAAAGAAAAGATACGAATATTGGATCTAATATTCATGGCGTTAAAAAGGCTTTGTTGGCATCAACGATTTCTCCTCACTCGGGTTGATGGTTATCTAAAGTCAACAACAATATCTCAGCGTTTTTGTTGCATTTTTTTTTAAATAACAAACATAGCCATTCTTGGATATTTCCCAGTGTAAACAGATGGAAAGACACAGGTTTATGTATTTACAGTATTCCGAAACGGACCTACATTACAGATAAACCTACATCAAGGCGACGGAATACGCACTTTCGGCGCGGCTGGGGTCAAGTTGACGGGCTTCAAGAACCCATCTCAACCACACTTGAAGAGTTATAAATGTATCACTGCTCTGTTTGTTCTAACTTTTCAAAATTGGTGTCATACTAAGGACAGCCTTTATGGGAAAAGACCCGCCCTTTTCGGACTGATAAAACTTGAACATAACGTTGGATGCTGAAATATCCTATATGAATGTAATCTAAATACGTCACGTCATGTGGAGACAGACGGGGAAGTACCAGCGCCCTGCCACTGCCCCAGGGGGACAGGGAAATGACGAACGGGAGGGCCTGGTGACTCTGGAGGATATATTCAATTTCAAAGTGCAAGTTAATATCCACAGAAAACCTGACATAGCGGAGATGATTGAGAAACAGCAGCATAAAGAATGGTAGGCATAACTTCGGTATAACATAATTTGTTTTATAGTTTAATTTGTTTAATCAGTCCGTTTAACCAGGCATTTTTTCTTGGCGAAGCGTGGATCCTCCCTCCTTTCAAAATGCATTATTTTGTGCCAGTTTTTAAAATGCATTATTTTGTGCCAGTCTGTTGTTTGGTATTAAAAGGAATTCTTATAGCCATTGTATCTGATAACGCTTTATTAATTGCCAAGAATCCGAAGTCGCTTAATTAACAATATTAGAATAACAGTCGACGATTTGAGAATGTGTAGTTCATAAGTAAATATTTCATAAAGCAAACACGTGACACTGTGCACCGATTGAAATTGACGGAAATAATAATCTGAATTGCGTAATTAATGCAATTACATCGATATCGTTGTTTCTACAGCCACAAGTAAGTTATATGGCACAATACATTATACAGTCTCCGTCTTACTTTTGAACGGTAGACGCATATGCGCACTCACATACAAGACTAATCTTAATGAATCTGACAGGAAAATGTGTTTTGACGTGCGTCCTGCTGCGCACCCGCCAACCTGACATATGTGAACCGAGTGATTTTGTCAGCGGTGGGTTACACATATATGTCCAACAGATTGGCAGCAATATTAAAACCGGTCTTTCGCCAGAAAACAAGATTTTTTCTTAAATGTACGAAGTATTGAAGGTTCGGGCTAATAGAGGGCCTGCCATGTCTGCTCCTATACTTATGTCCTATATCTCAGAATGAACCACGTCATCTACGCTCGTCTATAGTCACCCAAATGTTGGAAAATATAGAAAGTTAGCTTATAACTTTAGACCCATTAATGGATGCTGTCTTATTATAAACATAAATTTGCTTAATTATCGAGTTTTCACCTAATTTTTACCACAATCAAGATTTATATAGCCTAAAAATCCCCTTAGCTTATTTACCTGTCTCTTTTTACTTCGAGATCATGTTATTTGACCTCATTTTCAAATGCTTGTATTTTTTTAGTACTGTAACTTATAAGAATTTTATATTAAATTGCATTGAAATGTATTATAGTGGAATGTTCTGCTGCATAAAATATTATAATTAAAAAAAGTATTGTGACATCATATTATGGCGTTTAAGGCAGGTAGAATCAGGTTGACTTATTTAGCCAATCTTGATAGAAATGATACATTCAGAGTACCCGCAGAACGGTATTAATCTTAATTTTGCTCTACCCAGGATAACGATAATCTTTTCAACTGTTATTCAGTGACGTAGATATAAAAAGATATTTCCATGACTTAGTTTTGAGAAAGAGAATTGGCCCGTGGCCATTAATTTCAATTTTTTATCTGAAAAATTCTACCTTTTTATTCCTTTAGTTGATCCAAACTTGAGAAATGACATAAAACAGATATAGCCCTCTTTAAATTTCAATACAGAGCAGGCGTTTTGCGGCCAAAAGGGTAGTTCTTTTAACCCCCCCCCCCCCCCCCCGAACCCTCCTACCTAAAATCCTGGAGATAAAACAGTGGACTCCGGGGTAAAGGCATGACTGAGCTACCCTCCACCAGGGTCGCAGTTTATTAATATGTGGACATTTTCCTGTCGCCTCAATACAGAGATTGGCAATGTATTTAATCAATGACATATCTGGGAATATCATGTGAAAACTCAATCTGTGGCCCTGGTAGAGGGCAGAACTGAGCAATGTGCAAACGGCTGTCAACAGGGCTCCGTAACTCGAAAGCATCGCGTATTGCGAATAGGGATATCACATAGCAGGCCCGTAGCCAGGGGGGGTTCGGGGGGTTCGAAAGAACCGCCCCTTTTGCTGAGAAAAGGTCCACTTTGGGTAAAATTTGATCTAGGTATATGAAGTTTTGCTGGAAAAAGGTCCACTTTTTCAGAAAAAGAACCCCCCTTTTCAAAACCCTGGCTACGGGCCTGCATGATAGGCTCTATTCCCATAGATTTTAGATCGATCTATCCCCGCGGGGAGTCTCACTAGATTACTTTCAGATAATCCGACTTAAATGTCCGTCCCGCCTACTACAAGCTTTAAGAGGGTAATTAACTTTCGTGTCCGCCCGGCTGACAGCTATTTAGCGTGAACCCCCAGGGAGTTAGGTCGATCTAAAGTAGGTCGATCTAATCTATGGAAATGGGGTGATAGAGGCTAAGTACAATGTATTATATGGGGCGAGTATGGGCGAGTTATGGAATCGAGACGCTTGCGCTCGGTCGCAATGCGCGATGCTTTCGAGTTACGGGGCCAGGGGGTTGTGATGGAATTAATGAAAATGAGAGTTTAAACAAAAAGAAGTGCCCTGTGATCAGGTTACGGCTCCATCGTAATACTATCAGTAATTCACGAGTCTTTTGCTCTCTTGTTACCAATATATCGGTTGAGATAGATTTGTCGTTTGTTTGAACAGGAGGTTGTAATAACATCTTGTCCCAGAAGTCGATACAACACCGAGACATATTAAATTTCATCGGATAAAGGCAACTTCGATCATGTTGTTCGATTTATCATTCAGTAGCTCATGCCTTGTCAAGGACTGCTTACAACGACGTTTTATTAGGTGATATGTCTTTTGCATCATCTAAGCAAGCCTTAAGTGGGTGTTCATTTGAATAGGTCACCAAGGGAAGGGCTTAGTACCCTAATACTTTTATGGGCCAATTTATATGTCGGTATTGTTAGTTTGACAGTTTGATTCCTTATAATTCAAGACACGTCCTCCCCGTATAATAATCGCCCATCGCAGCGCGGGTTTAATTTTTCAAGTTTGCCTTTGGACCCGCGAGAGAGCTCTTGCCAGAATTAAATTCCCGAAAACTAATTCAGCGGTTCTCTAGAGGACTCGCTGACCCAAATGCACCAAATGTTGAGCAGTACAGCAGGAGCAAAAGAACCGACGAGAAAATTGAAATAACGTATGGGGTAATACTACAATATGGCGTCTGACTTGTCATAAAAGAAGTAACACGGGGTTGAATGCCGAGCTCGAGTGAATGGAGGGCCATAACGGTTTACTGAGTACCATCTACAAAAAGTTATGGACCGCACCGAGTCTAAACACAGTTAATTCTTCCCTCCCTTATCGAGCATCGAAAAGATTCGGGTAAGTGAATTTATAAATACACAAAAGCCAACCAACAAAGCTAACTAATGTGAAACGGCATGTTTTCATTAACGATCCCATCATTATGGAGAGGGGAGCGTGTAAATAGCAAACAATGCATTGTTGCCCGTATTTTACGCGATTGTGTACACAAACATGGTTCATGTAGAAATATTGACAGCAGGGACCCCGAGCCTTTTAGTAGGAGTGCGATCAATATAACTTGTGGAGTTGTATATTAGGATAGGAAGTGTCTTGTTGAACGTTGTTAAGGACATACAAGGAGATAGCTGTCACTGCGGGCTTCACAGTGAGGACTTGAACGCGGATTAAGTTACAACTCATCGCGTAGACTTTTAAGTTCAGACCTTAAGCAACGCAGCTTGGGAGATTAACCGGTATCGGCAGCGAAATTAAATATTAATCGTTCCAACTGACGCATGGTGACCGTGGTCGGTGACGATTGTCGTGACACTCGTTCTCCGCCGTGACCAATGACCCCTAGTGTCAAAATGACCACAGCGTATCGATATTCTGGCTACCAAACCCGCACACGGCACGAGGGGGAAATGGCGATAGACTTGGACGAGCTTGTCCTCAATAGTAACGAGTGGTTGGAGACGCACCAACAAAATTTACAGGCGATGTCGTCTCAGTTTCTTCATGATAAAAACAAACGCTTGTCAGAACGCAGAAAATGCCAAAACGCAGGACGGTTTGAATATCAAAATAATCCACTTTTAACTCTTTATCGCATGTCCAAAAATTACAGGGTGCAAGATGTCGGGGAGTTACTGCGAGGGAAGAGACGCGGCAGTTTACAACTCGGGAATGAAGCAGACGACATTGCTAGCCAGCACTACCCCCTCCAGCAAGACGGGCTGGACCCCAGCCCAGACCTGAACGAAGACCAGTGTCAGAGGTCGAAGAGATACAAAGTGAAGTTTGCTCTTGGTGACGACGAGGAGGACGAGGACAAAGTGCCTGTTCCAGTGAATAAGTTGGAGTTAGGTGAGTGCTGCAGTTCCTACACCCTTATAACGAGGGATGTTATCGTAATTCAGGTACTATTGTGAATTTTGTGTAATTTCTGGTCACATGCACAGGTCACATACAAGGATAAATGCACGTGCGAGCAAAGATGCACGTGTTAAGTTTTCTTCGCCTGTCACTTCTTCTCATTACCTTTGGCAAAGCAGAGACCAATGCTTATAATAATAATAATAATAATGATAATAATAATAATAATGATAATAATAAATACTTGTAGAATAATTTAAAGAAAGATAAAAATAAAATGTCATCTCAGAATGATGAAAAATAACATCAACTAAACCCTCCTTTTTAATGTCCTTATTATTTTATTCCTCCACTGTGATAAAATCATTCCATGCTAATAACGCTGTGTCTGTCAAAACGATCTTTGTGTCAGCTGATAGCAGTGTCTATAGATATTGTACAGAGTCTATATGAAGACCCCTCGTGTCTGTTGATTTTGCTCCAACATTAAATTAGTCTACCTCTTCAGGTTTAGATATCTGAGATACGCCGTAACGACAGCACTTAAAGCGTTGCAGTCTTCTTCCGGAGTGTTATTTGCTGATGTACATGAATAGAACTCACAGTTTAAGAAACAGGTGTGAAACAAAGTTTAATAACACTACTTATGATGGTCCTTATTTCCCAAATGTAGATTGAAACTGAATATTGTTACCATGTTTAAAGATACTAAGACGGTTCTAAAATTGAAAAAAAAAGGATAAAAGGATAACTTGAAGGGGGATAAGCATTTAAACACCTTTTATGAAACCTGGAACCTGCACCTCTGTTCAATAAGCATATATGTCTTTCAGCCTGCCATCGACCAACTAAAATAGTTTTCTCCTCACAAATTGGATCCAATCTTTCAGTAGTTCACAGCTTATCATAAATTAAATCAATCTGACAGCATACCATACCCATCAAAGTAGGGTATAGGTTTTTCACCCAGAATTTTACAAAAAGACACTGGGAACTCGCCTCCGCCTGTCAACATTGTTCTGGAAATGGCAGAGAAATTCCTATGCAATGAAGTAGAGATTTGTCCTTTCCACCGTCCTCTGAAATTTAGGGTGGGGATTTGAGACACGGTCACAATTTTTCAACATATAGCTTAGTCTGCATCCTTAAGCATGTAGCACATTGGTGTCAAAATCGATTCTATGTATGTTAGTACGTATTTAAACAATATCATTTAATTAGAATAAGACCCTTTAGGTTGGTCATCGAACTTTTATTTAGTGAATTATTGACTAATGCGCTATATTTGCACAACACAACAAAACTATTTGTAAAAGCCAAACTTAATATTTCCATTGTCTTGCGTAAAGACATCACTTGTACGCAGAAATAACAATTCTTTTTTTTCTTTGTTTTCAGATCCAGCAAACTTAAAACTGACTCAGGTGAGTCTGAACACGTAGACAATACCGATATGACAGGAATGGTAGTCCGCTTGGAACCGTAGGTCCGTTCCTCATTACTTTGTGCATGTGACATGCGTCCCATAACATAACACCAATAGTACGACTAATTCTAACCTGAACTTATCATATCAGATATGGGACCCCGGACTTCCATTCCTAAGAGTACGATTCCTGTCTCATCGGTATACAAAAGTGTGAGTGTCCACGATATTGGGGTAAATTCAGAGCTAGCGATCTCTGCAGTTCCTGAATGGTTATAACAGGATAGCCGCTAAAATTGATCCGAAAAAAGTCTAGCCTTGTATATATTTTTTACAATTTCTCGAATTCTTCGGATTGGATTGATACTGTAAATTGTAACGAACAATTTGTTTTTCTGCTCGTCGGTGTTCTAATATCTTTTGTGTTTCTTGCACTATTTTTACCCGTTGTTTTGTAGATATTGATCTTAATCTTCTTATGCTTCCTTTTTTTGCCTTTTTGTCTTCCATGCTTCTTCCTTTTTCGCTTCACGTATTTCTCTTCAGAGGCTTAGATACAAAACGGGATACAAAATTCGATCGTAAAAAGGACCGGAATACTTGCCCAGCATCGATTTGGGATTACAAGACAAAAATATTACGACTAATGCCCGTGCAGTCTAAACCAAGCTCAAAACCGATTATTTCACCCAGGAGAGTTGACGTACTTTGCAATCATTATTGGAGCTCGTTTTCTGTGGCGTTGTTCTCTGTCTGTTGATTTGAATGTAATATACTGAGACGTCGTGTCCACATGCTTGTTTTTCTATCAAAATTGTCAAGAGTATTGCATTCGTACTCGAAAGGCATGGATGTACACAATATGTAGTACCACTACGGGAATTCTTTACGTTATCAGTTACTGTGAATCAAACAGATCATTGAACGGTACAATCCTCGTACAAATAATACTCTTTCTATGAAAATTACCGGGCAGTCAGAGTGGACTTTGGCAACATTTACATTGGGAACGCTGCACTTAGATTTGTGTAACATTTAGCTTGGTTTCCACTCGTAGGAAACACCAAGATTGGTAAGTAGGCAGGATATTCATCAGCTGACAGACGGAAAATATGAAATGATGACTTTGATTTAGCTTTTTCCGCTGCTTTTCACTCGACTTCAGAAATGTAATATGATGTCGATTGATCAGGCTGCCTTTGAAAGCCAGATTTTTAATTGAATGCAGCCGGGATGGCTTTGTGTTGCGAGAGTAATGGATCCCACGGGGTTTGACGTCTTTGTTGAGACAAAGCAAAAAATGATGGCGTGTTTTAGGTAGAAATAAAAGAAGAGCCTAAATCATAGTTCTTTATATCCGGTAGTGGAGGCAGGACTTAAAGAGCGTGCCGTCTTCTTGCCTTTTTTAAGCAAAACGGATTATTTGCACGTACCTTTTGGGCTATAGGTTGGGAATTCAGTTGATGCTATGGTACGAATCTCGGTGTGTAACTTGTGTCAAAGATACAAGACAGACAGTGAATTATCTACGTAAGCTGCTATAGACACTAGTATATATGTTACTGCAACTAAAAAAATAGTGTCAGGAATACAACCAAATATGATATCTAACAAGGCGCTTATTATTTTAATAATATATTAGCCAAGGCAGCATATGCGTGGTAGTATTGTAAGATATGTATTTTTTCTTTCTCCACAGTCAGAGTACCGGAGACTATCGGAACAAGTTGGAGGCAGCAACGGCGCTGAAGACAAATTCAGAGGAGTCGGATTTAAGGTAAGCTTTTTGATTGCAATGAAATTATTTGCGTTGGTTCGAAAATTTTATTATTATAAGTCGGAAAAGAGTAATGGCGTGATAGGCAACTAGCTTACAAGTAATTTTCTGGGCCAGTATCAGGAAACTGAGGTTCCATGTAACAGAGTGTACTATTGGATTCATACAGGTTAGAATTAGCGTGACGTACATGTAAATACGTGATGGTCAAGATCCAGAACTGGACCGGAACTGGAAAACATGACCGTTTTCGCAACCATACGAATATTAGGTCTATAACTCAACGAACTTTCAGCGGATATTAGTGATTTTGTTTTTAAACAATGTGTCAATAAACTAGAAAGTCCACGTGCTGTGTGACTCCATACATGTAGAGAATTACTTCAGTATTGAGATAAACAGACCATGACAGATTGCAGGTTCATGAGTTCGATTATGAGACCAGTACATACGTCCCCTTTTTGGATAGGTATTTTTTTCTAGAAAATATTACACAACTGCTACAGTAAAACTGTTGAATTATTAAGCTTACTCCAGACGTCTCCACGCATTCACAGTGCCTAATGCCTTGTTGGCAATTGGTACCCTTTGTTCTCAATTGCTATCCTATTGTTAATGATATCGTAAATAGGTAATAGATCTAAGCTTGGACCTATTCTACATGTATGACGGGTGCAAAGATCTTAGCATTTTAATAATCACCACTTCAACCGTGCTGGTTCGAGGAACGACGTGCGGTTTTGTCATAAAACGGGCTTGGATGTCCCCCTGTTGCTTTTTGTGTCGTGATTTATTCCTCCTTTATGCTCAATTCAAATATGCCATTTTTAAAGAATACTGTTTTAAAGGCATTAAAAACGTATCCACACTTTGTTGTTAAGAGCCAAATTTCACGAGCTGGGAGACGCTGGCATAGGCGGGCACTACCCCTTGTTGTATGCGGTTACTATGTAATTCTGTTATCGATCCCCAATAAAACAGCGAGTTTACCGTGTGTTGTGTGATATATTGCCCGGCCAAAATCCATGTGCAAACGTGCTTAATAATATAACATATAGAATCCATAAGCCATTGGGTAAATTAAAGACTCCATTAATCTTTGAAGGAGCATGTTTCGTTGAATTTGCACAGGAGACTGACGTGTTCGATGCTTGGCTTTCATCAAAGCGAAATAGGGTTAGCCGCCAAGGAAATTAAAAAGCACTAAAATGTGAAGGCTTTAACCTCTTTCTTTTATTAAGACAATTATCAAAACTGTGCCCCGAATCATGAATAAGAGACTTGTATTATTTTCGCCTGAACTTGCGGCTTTAGAGTGTTTAGAGCGATTAAACGAAGCGTTGGAGACATCGGCCAATAATGTCCCCATGGTGTATAAACGTTTCAAATGTGTTGGTTTTGCAATTGTTCGAAGCGAAACATGTGAAAGCGCCTATTTGCTGCCCGAGAGGGATATTGTTGTGGTAGCGGTGAAAAATTGTTTAGATTACTGAACAAACATAATATGTACACAGGCTCGACCCACTGAAGGAATTGTGGGTAAAAATAAATAGCGATGTATTCTTTTGGGGGAAGGAGTAGGGGGAATTCAACTTACATTTCTTGTTCTAAAACATTAATTTCTTTCAAATCAGTTACCAGTCTTGAGTACTTCTAATTGCTCATAATGTCAATAGAAATGACAAAACTCTTTGTTATAGTAATGCTGAATTTTAAATTAATATGTTCTTCTCCGTTTCCCCCAAAATAAAATTGTCGCCAAGAACATCATGGCTACTTGGCAATGGGAGACAAGCTGGCAGGTAAGCTCCGATTAAAACTAAAATTTTCTCAAAAATCCGGATATTTTAAGAAATCGACTGAATCAGATATATCGACCTCGAGTCACTAGCTGCCAATATGCAGGTAAATCTTAAAATCGTGTTGAATGGCAGTTGTAACTAAAGGGGTTCATCTAATCATTTTTACGTTAACCCAGTTCCGTTTTAATACACTTGATTTAATGTGCCGACACTGGTCCAATTCAAAGCACATAAGCAACTTAAAAAGTAAGGCGATGGGTAATGTTATATATGAGTTTAAACACAGAGGACCAATCCGTGTCTGGGTGCTTTTTGGGAAATGACCTCATACGTTTTTCTTGAGTCCTACTACATTGTCTGCGTTGTAGGCCCACCGTCTGCTGTATGTAGTATAGTATTGGTGAGGATGATATCACGGTCTTTTGCACACAGCTTTCCAGTGCACAACTTGTTTGGTCAATGTTGGTTTTGTAGGCCTGTCGTAGTTGTTTTCGTAGAGCTATTATTGGTATTGATTCGGAGGAGAGGAGCATTAAACCGAGTCACGGACACCAATTAGTATATTACCTGTGCATTCACGTGCATTGTCGTACAAAGGTGACCAACAGCGCAGAAACTTTCTACCAGAAAATACCTGACATGGTACAAATCGCTTATCTCACTTGTCTGAAACTGTAGTACACATTACTTAAGCCCTGGACTATCCACTTCTGGTCACAAAAGACACGAAATCAGTGTAAAGGATTGAGAAGAGCAAATGTAATTTTTAAGATATCTGAATACTCGTTAGGCCTATACTTCTGACATTTGTAGTAAGGATTTTTGAGATATTTGTATACTCGTTATACTTCTGAAATTTGACTCCATGTCTCTGACTCCTCTGAATTAAAGCAGCAGCCACGCTAGCACCCTGAGTGTCAGCGGTCACTGGGAACTCGCCCCTCTATAAACAGCACGACTCTCGTTTCCAGTGATCTCAAAAACCCAGGGTGCTCTAGCATGGTAGCTTAAACCTCTTCCTCTTATCTCCCCCTCACAGACTTTTTACATCTCCAAGTAATTCTCAGTTGGTTTAGATGGAGATCCCTCGTCATTAACCGTTCTTAATATTAATTATAAACCAATCACCAGTGGACCGTGGTTAAAACGAAACACAAAAGGTACTTGGAGATATTTCGAAACACAAAAGGTACTTGGAGATATTTCAACGTCCCTCAGGGAAAACTATTGATCTTTTCAAGACATAATATAGAGACGTATGCAAGCAAGACCTATCGATCCCACGGTGTAGCTCATCATCTTAGATCTTATTACGACTTTGCCCTGTGCAGTGTGACTTCAAAGTACAGAACTGTATCACTTACCGGGTGATAGACGCCATACTGTGACAAGTGCTTTTAGGGATAATGAGTGTGTGTTTTACCCAGTGTATTTGAGAGAGAGAGAGACAGAGAGAGAGAGAGAGAGGGAGGACTCAGCCAAGGCGACTACATGCAGCTTAAGTAGAAAAGGTAAGATCAAGCAAATTGCACCGTTTTTCACACTGGCAGCTTGCAGGTGACTTAACCTAGGTGTAGGCGTATTGTAACCCCAATTGTTCAAAGAGGTATTCACGATATTCTTTTCTCGGTTTCAGCGTTTTTACTGCAATTCCTACGGTGAAAATGTGCCGCTTGTCTACCGTAGCCAGCTAGCTGCCAGCCTCAAAGCATTTAAGAACAAGAAGTGGGTGCCGTACCAGCGCGAGGACCCTCGAGACGCCCCGTACTTGCGATGTCGCCCAGTTAGTTATGTCGTGGAGACGGCAGTGGAGGCTGACGGTGTGGTAGACTGCCATAAGTAAGTATACGGAACGTTTGTTTTATTATTGTATGTATACAGTAGAAATGTTATGCAATTGGATTGTTTTTATTTTCTTTTGAGCATTACACATGCACATCAGCGAGCCTGACCAACACAAGTGGACTTAATAGGATGTTTTTAGTAAAATTTTCGGTGGTGATATTTATTTGAGAAGTTTGTAAGAGTTTACTGGAATGGCGTAGCCTACACAATGTGCTTTTATTGTGCACTATTTGTTATAACAAACCGTATCAAGAATACTAACACAGTTGTTTAAAGTGCCATATTTGCATTAAAAAGTGATGCCCAATTTATTTTCATGTAAGAAAATAAGGAATTTGCTTGAATAATTATTTATTGGATGCATTGAAAGTGGAACACATTGTCAGACACTGGCAGGGATTTGAATGGCACGTGCACAACTAAAAGTTTTCACGATTGCGTTTCTTTGAATTTCACCTCACTTTTCAGACAGCCACCGAAAGGTTGCTCACGTGTTCCTTCTCCCGTGAAAAGGCGGTCATTCCGCGAAGCACAACTTTTGTTTGATAATCTGCCGATCACAAAGTCTCTTCACGCCGATAGACAGGATGACGCCATGGAAACTGATCACATGACACTAAATGCTGTGTATGATTGGCTTATTTATATCTCTCGTGTTCACCTTTGCTGTGTACCTTTTGTTTGCAGGATGCAGAGTGCTTTAATCCGGTGCTTTATATTGTGGTTTTGATTGAATATTGCTTGGGGACAATAATAATTTCTTTTTCAGGATTCTGAATAATTTTGATTCCTTTCTAATATTATTTCAAACAATCAGATTTATTCTGTTGACGTGATTTACATTTCTTTGCTTTCATTCTTTTCAAATCAATGCATGTTTTTTATATTATTTTGATGAAGTAGGCCTAGTCGGGTTTGTCATTCAGATGGGGTTCTTCTTGTTTTCTTTTTTAGACTCACTAATTTGTCATAGTTGTATGTATTGCACACCTATAAAAGCTTCTGTATTAAAATATTGCACACTCAGCCGCATGCTTTTTACGGTAGGATTATAACATTCCCAAACACCTCCTATAAATGAAGAGATGAAGAAAATGACCTTATTGCACAACACTGCTTCTTCCCTGTTATTAAAAAATTCCACACAATAGTAACAGTCTTTCACTCAGTAAAATGTAATGATTTTTGTTGGGAAAGGAAGTTGATAAGTTTTTCATGTCATTAAGTTATGATCAGTCTGCCGTATATACACATTATTGAATAAGCAAACTTTCTTTTTCAGACGACCAGCGTCTCGTTTCCAAAAAACTCAGGGACTCAGGGCGAGAAGACGCGCTCAGTCAGCGCCACTTACGATCTCACAGTCAGTTCAGCACATGGGGGAAACCTCCACCAACGCTTACGATAGACTTACTCCGAATGTTATGTACGAACTAGGAAACGAAACTGCCAAAAGATCTCCTCCATTTTATGGAGAAAAATCATTCCAAGTTTTAGGCGTTGGCGGGTCAAAGATTAAAGATATGAAAGACCCGGATGATACTAGCGGCATTGACACCAGTGGACGCGACAGCGACATCTCGGACGACGAACGGATAAAAGAACCGGACGTCGATAAAAGCCGAAAAGCACCGACCATGAATCTTCGGCCCGAACATTTAGACTCTGTTTACGAACCCGACGGAAGGCGAGATATTAGTAAATTTGATTTTGACGCTGACAACGTGGATATTCCTGTTTACGACTTCAAGTACCCGCTTACTGGTGGGTTTGAGAAAATGGATTGGAGGGATCTGGTAGAGACAATGATATTTCGGGAAGAAGGTTCGGATGACAAGCTCGACTGGAGGGACATGACGAAAAAACGACCGACTCATAAATACGAAGAAAATATGGTAGACCGTCTCATTGAAATGGAACGCCATCAAATCGACACGGAGGACTGGGAGGAAGAGAAAAGGGAGAGAAATCAAAGGAACGCGTCCCAGCTCACCAGACAGAGGAATAGCGTTACGAACCTTACACGAGGGATGTCGTCCGTACAACGCGTACAATCTGCGAAGGCGCGAGATCGACGCTGTGTTATGGACTGTGTGCAGCCGGCATGTGTCGGAGATTGCTTGACAAAGCGCAACGCCATGGATGTGTGCATTAGTTGCCGGCAGAAGGACTGTGACGGGCAGTGTGCTAACAGTCTGTACGAGTCGCACAGCCGGTCGAGCGGCCAATTGGGCAACGGAGAGAAACCGTCTCTTTCTCAACGACCGAAATCTTGCAACCCGTGCAGCAGGCCAAACACGGCAAAATACATCAACGCAAACAACGTCGTCCTTGGTCGACCGAAGTCTGGCAACGCCACCTATAGTCGGGGGCAGGCGTCTCTTCGACCAAAGGATTTAAGACCGCAGACGCCCATTAGCGCCTCGTTAGTTGGGGAATTTAACAAACTCGGTATCGACCCCAATTTACCCCCTCCACGACCAAGCACGGGAAAGAGAAGACCACGAGGCAGAAACGCTATTATCCCAGGGAAGACTTATTTCTCACAGAGGAGAGATTCATTAACGGAAAACGGTCCATCTGGGAGGGTTAGGTCGGCTGGGCAACGCAGGACTGTGATCAAACTTAAACCCACCAGAATAAGACCTAAAACGGCTGTTTAGGAGACATTTAACATAACAGTAGACATGTAGTGAAATCATTGAGTTTTTAAAGCTGTTTCTGTCCACGTAGAGTGCATGTCAACAAAAGAAACAATTTTGCTTGAGAAAATGATTACATGTATTCATATTTAAATGTTTTAATTGTTTACTTAAAACAACAACAAAACAACAAGTTTATGCTAAAAGCGCTAGAGTGATAACAAGTAAATATTAGAGAGCGAAGTCCCACCACGTAAATTCACTTGTTTTTTAATGTTTTTGATACATGGCCGACGCTTTCCCACCCAATCACTTCTTTGTAGTGCCAGCTCCTGTGCATCACTGTGACGTCACTGAGGATGAAGTGACGTCACCACGACTGTACTATACTGCAACACGAATCAACCCACCGTGTGACGTTACAAAAGATGCTCCGTCATCTATGACTGAATTCGAAGCATTGGATTTTTGAGTGAACTCATAATGTTTCTGTTCTGATGTTGCCAAATGTCAATTGTTTCTCATTTTCTATATTTGTGATCTACGCACATGCCATTTATAGCAACATATGCCGAATGGCTGATACCACAGCCAGAGTCAATAAAAGAACAAACCTTTGTACTGAGTATGATTTGTTTCTCTTTATTAATGTGTGTAACAACTCGAGACCGCATAAGTTCTCTCTCTCTCTCTCTCTCTCTCTCTCTCTCAAATCTGCCGTGCGAGCTCATTCACACAAGGATTCTCCATTCCGTGTTTTAAAAGCATGGCTAGCGATTTATAGGTGCGAAATGCTCCATAAAACAGATTTTAATTGCCCCTTTCTTGTTTATGCACAACGTTAATATAATTTCACTTCACTCCTTTATTTGAAACGGTACCCAAACCTTCTTTTCCTAGATTACTAGGTTCCCGTTTAAGTTCCCCTTCCCGTATTAACTGGTTTTCTCATCTTGAGCCTCCATGCATAATTTCCCATGTGTTATTCGACAAAATAAAGTCTTATTGTTTTCAATGATATATTAAAGTCACATAACGATTCTCGATCGCAAAATTTTGTGGCAAAATATTTGCCATATACCATTTCGATTGACACAAACTCCCTTTATTTTGAAAAAGAAAAAAAAAAAAAAAAAAAAGAAACCGCCCACTACATCTCATAGATGCACTCGATGTACGCAGCGTCAGTAGGCCTACAACTAAGCAAACAATGACAGCGTCACCTGAACTAAAAATAGACGCAGAAAATTTCCAGTTAAAAAAGCACACCTGCGCGCATAAGATTGGACCGGTACCGCAAAGGTCAATGCATTTTATTCGACTGAGGTGCACAGTCCTGATATAGACCGTCCTCGCCTGTGAACATCTGATAACCGCTATTATATGATCGGGCCAGCACGTTTTTAAAAGACAGGTGAGAGTACTTCGTTTAAATAGGTCATACATACATACATACATACATACATGCATGTCTACCAGACGGCAAGATATATTTATACAGTCTAAAACCGCTGTATGGTTATTGACTCGATCAATAGGGCCTATTCATTTTAATGTTTCATACGACGGTGAAACTGCATGTGAGGAAAATTGCAATGTATTATTGGGGAAATATGTTTCAACTACTGGGAAAGAACATTGGACGACTGGTTTGGAGGGAAACGATATATTTCGGCTCTCTTAGTTTAGCGGGCTTATCTAAAGCCTAACCTATAATACTCTAAAATCGTGTGAAGTACTCAGCCTGTTGATGCAGACTTATGAAATGAAGCGCGATCTCTTATCTTTATATACTTTTCCTCGCCTTATGTTATGTCTAGATTTAGTGTTTGAGTTTTTTTTTACACTGCGTTCTTTTTTATTTTTAAAATGTAATGTAATGTAATGTAATGTAATTTAATTTTATTTTAGCATACTTAATTCACTCGTATATACATATAAAAATCTTTGAAGAGATAATATATCCGTCTGGATGTATCTGAAGCGATATGTTGATATACATGTGTAACCAAAAAAGGCACCACAGATGCAGCCCATTTTGATATCCCCACCCACGGGGAAAATTTAATCTCTCTTCCATAGTCACGGGCGTGTGATAAATCAGCTGATTAGATTAAATGGTTAATTCACATGATTTCTGAACCATGAAAGCTGTATGTTTTCCGTCACATGATTGTTTTTGTTATTATACACAAAGGTATGTAAATACTTCAAACAAAAGGCAACATGAAGTGCAAAATGTTTTCATCGGCAATATTCTCAATGAAAACGAAAGCTTATTAACATCAATGCATTTTTTGTGACAGTGTGTCATATAGTATAACAAAAGGCGCCCACGACAGTTTGGCACGTGGCTACTAAGCGACTGTATTTCCTCAGTTTTCATTCTTTCCGAAACATGAATGACTCATGAATGAGTGACACTTGATAAAATTTACATAACCCCCACTCCACCTTTGACAGTTTATAAAATGTTAAGGTGGTAAAAAATTTCGAGTCAATAAGTCCGTGTAGCAGGGGCGGATCCAGAGATATTTTCTGACAGTTTTCCAAATTATCTTTGTTGATCCATCCTCCATTTCTGACCGTCTTCCGACAGAAAAAAATAAGATACCTGTTAATGTAAACTTGAAAATCTGACCGTCTTCCGGAAGACCCAGAAGACGGCCTCAATCCGCCCCTGTGTAGGGATGACTTACCCCCCTATCCCTTACCTTAATTTGCACTACATAACGTGCACGGACAGTTCGCTTCTCAATTGTATTCTCAATACATCTTTCATCTCTCTTTTTTTTCAGTAGCTGTCAATTACCCTCGGAAGACATCATAGTATAGGCCCTACACCTGCTAACTGCTATCCAGCAGAATGGTTCGATACAAGATCCCATTTTTCTGTGCGTTAATAATTCTTGCCATAGTCTGTGCCTCAAAATCGAATGGACAGACCTGCCCAAACAAGTGCCATTGCAAGAATAACTACCAAATCGTCGACTGTCGCAATCGTGGCCTCTCGGAGATTCCCTCGGGAATACCCGTCAGCGTCCAAGAGCTTCGACTGGACCATAATACTCTAACCGACATCCAGGCAGACGCGTTCAAGGGTTTAATCCATCTTCGAGTCCTGTACCTGAGTAATTGTAAAATCAACAAAATCGCACCTGGCACATTCAAGGAACCGACTAACATCACTGATTTATATCTAACTTCGAACGTCCTGAAGGATTTCAATGCCACGTCACTCCAAGGGTTACAAAACGTCCAAATGCTTCACCTGGGGGGTAATGAACTGACAGCAATCCCGGATCTTGGTCGTCTGCGCGCTTTGGTGTCCTTCGTCATAGACACCAATGAGTTGTCGAACGCTTCTTTCCCTGAGGGTTTTGGGAAGCTGTTGAATCTTACACGAATAACGTTGAGTAACAACAAGATAACTCGTCTTGCAGACGGGGACTTGAAGTCCTTGCGTCAATCCAAAGTGGCAAAGTTATATCTTGCCAGGAACCAAATAGCTCAGATCGGGAAGCTTAGCTTGGAACCCATTGCAGACACACTCGTATCCTTATCGCTTGGGCATAACCCGTTGTCGTCAACTTCTCTAAGAGACGGGCTCTTCGGGTTACGTCAGTCCAAGCAGCTGACGTCATTAGACATCCCAGCGCTTTCCTTTGGTGGCGTCATGAACAGTGATACATTCCAATACCTGAATTCAACTCCTTTACTGAAACTAAAAATGTACTGTAACTCCGTCCACCAGCTCGAGCCGAGGCTCTTTAGTCACGTGAGAAACGCCGATTACATAGATGCCAGCTCCTGTCAGATCCGAGACATTGAACAAACTGTTTTTGCTGGCATGGCAAAGTTGAAAGAACTTCGTTTGAATGAGAACTTCCTCTCTTACGTGCCACAAAATCTGCCGAATAGTCTACGTATATTAGATCTCAGCGAAAATCAGATCATCAATTTTAAAGATTTTCAGTTCGCTGGTATGCGAAACATAGAGACGCTTCGTCTAAGGAAAAGCGGAGTTGAGAGGATACCAACAAATTCTTTTGCTGGGTTAGAAAAAATTAAAACATTAGACCTATCTGAAAATCGCATTTCGTCCATTGGCAAATCCGTCTTCGGCATGCTTCATAAACTCAAAACATTGAAACTGAACGACAATAGGATCGGCTTAATCCAGACAGACATATTCTCTTCGTCGTCGGCTTTACAATTTCTCGACATGTCAAAGAATTACATTGGGAGGTCTTCGATCCCCCTAGACTTATTCAAGGGTACTTCCAAACTGAAGATTCTTTTCCTAAGTGATAATGAACTAGGATACGTTTTCAAGAATGACCCAAACGGAATGCTCTTCAAGAATTTGTATAAGTTGGAGAATTTGACGTTGGAAAGAAATCGCATCAGTCAGCTGTGGCCTGCTCAGTTTCAGAATCTGACGTCGGTAAAAAATCTGTCTCTCAGCGATAATCAAGTCTCGTTCTTCACTTCTCAACTCTTTGCGCCAATGACATCCCTGCGTGCTCTGAACCTCAGTCAAAACATGATCTCATTGGTTAATTCATCATCCATAGGAGGTTTGGAGGGGAGGCTCCAGACGCTGGACCTCAGTGGAAGTCCGTTTGCTTGCACTTGTGATCTTGTGTGGTTTCGACGTTGGATCAATCAAACCAACATCACGCTTTCTCAATTGGACGTTTACACATGTAATACTCCAGCGGAACGCCGAGGTATGCCCTTATTGCAGTTTGATCCGGATGCGATTGATTGCGTTAATCGTTGGCCAATCTACCTGGCTTCGGCCGTTGGCGGAACGTTGGCACTTCTCGTTGTCGTTTTTATTTCCTTGTACAGGTGGCGCTGGTTCCTAAAGCTAAGATATTACCGCTTCAAACGTCTCGCCCTCAAGCGTGATGTGCCCCATGGTTACGAGCGAGTGGAAGGGGATGACATCGTGTCGGATGCATTTGTTTCATTCTGCGTCGATGCAGACAGAGAATGGGTGGCAGTAGAACTGCTAGCACGAATGGACTCCCGACCTCCCAACGCCGGGCGCTTTAATCTTGTCTGCGACCTCAACTTTTTGCCGGACAAATCGGAGTTGGAAAGCGTGGTGGAAGCCATTGAGTGCACGCGGAAAGCCATCGTGGTCCTTTCCGACGCTTACATCGGTGATCCTCGCTGCGTCCAATTTGAGCTGGAGCAGATCGTCTATGAATCTTCCGTAGAACGACCGCAACGGTACGAAATGATTCTCGTTTTGAAGGGTCTAAATCCAAATGGCAAAATCCCGAAGGTTCTTCGACAGCGTCTGGAAAGAGGGGAATTTTTGGAGTGGACGGAAGATGCAAACGGCCAGCAGTTGTTTTGGGATCAGCTGGGGGAAAAACTGGAACAGAGACCACATAACATAAACGTCTGAGTAAAAATAAACACCTTAAGTTGCACTGCCATTATAAATATTAGGAAGGAATCTCTTTTAAAACGAATGTTCTTATTGTAATTTTTTTGTAGTGTGCAGGCTTTGCAAGTTGCGTTAATACCTTATTTGTCTACTTCTCGAAACTCTCATTCATTACACTCACGTTAAAAAGGTATTTAGTGAACTTTTGTACTTCATATTTTTGTACTTCATATTTTGTGAGCTTTTCTTTTGTATTTATGATTTTTTTTCAATCTTACTTTTTTGCAAGTGTTTATCAGGGTGAAAAAGTTCGTTAAGTGGTCAAAATCAGAATCAGTATTCGGCAATCCTCTCTAACACATTCATACTCAACCGCTCTTCTCTGTTCAACCGGTTGCGTTTTGTTCCTGTGAAAATTTCAACAGAATATATCTGACTTTTAAAGCATTGCCTCATTTAATTCTACTCGATCACAAAACATTGCTTGGTTTTGATTATAAAATATTAAAATGGAGAAAAAGGGGCACAAAAGTATCTACCACTTGTCGCCATTGCATGCTTACCGTGTGTGATCTGAAGGTTTGATATTTTTTACGCAACAATTGCACCTTAAATGAAAACAAAATGTACATAATTTATATTACTAGTATATTAGTCAATAAAAATTGCTCGCTTCGTTTTATACATAAATTTTATTCACCTTGCCGATGACGATCATCCAGTACATTTCTCGTCCACCCCATAAGGAAAATGTCTTGATTCGATTGATCTCTTTGATGCATTTATACATTTCTTGAATTTTTTAAATGAATATTTACAAATGATCACAGCTAAATTTTTTTTTCTCTGTGCTTCGCGCCAAACGATTGCCTTATGTTGTAGTGGTGGTATAACCGTTTTTTTTTTAACAAGCATAAGGTCCGCCCTAGAACCTGCAGAGAAAAATTGCTCATTGGATTAAAGTCAAAGGAAGAAAAAAAAGAAAAAAAAATAGTAAGAAGAAGATTTAATCCACGACATATACCGGTAGGCCTACCTACATGAATTCTAATAAGTACGCGTTGCCTTGCTTAGCTTCACGGGCAAAAACAATCGCCAGTGAGGTAATCTTTATACTTAGAAGACTCCAACATTACAATATTACTAGGCCCTTGAACGGCATATCGCACACTAGACAACACCTATGTTATATCCAGCTTTACAATAAGAAAATAAACATTCGTTATCCACAATCGATGTAGATCTATGGTCTCTGTCTTAAATGTCTCAGACCCTCCCACCGATTTCTCCCAAAATCAAACTCTCCCTTTTCCACATATTCTTTTCTCAAGTAAACGTTTTCTATGCATTGTTTGCACTTTAACTGTCACCTCCACCCGTTTATCGGCACATCTTTACATCTTGGAGCCACAACATGAGTTATGATAACGATACCAGCACCTGCTGCCCTCTGCCGGCAGCTTAGCTGCGCTTGCGCACAACATTATTGATCTTGGTCGTCCATATTGGTTTGGAACCTGGGATTCAATTCAAGGTCAAAGTTTTATCGGCTCGCCGTTCATCCTACAAAACGTCGATTTTCACAAAAACCCAGGCGTTCGAAAAATGAACGCCGGAGGTAAGTGTACGATAAATACATTTGCATAGAATCCCCTCTTTGTTGATATATTTTGATTGTAAATGTGTTGGCCATTGTGTCTACGCGGTACGGGGCCGGGAGGGGCCAGGAAGAGCAGCACGGTGGTAAGGCGCAAGGCCCCGGATACTATATAAACAGTCACACGTGATTGTCACCGAAGACCACCGCGTTAAGGTTAAGATAGGAACGTTACACAATAAAGTGGTTCCACTTCAAAGCTTCGATAACTTTAATTTCCACGAACATGTAGTGTGAGAACGTCACGTGATCAGCTTTTTTTTAATACCCTAAGTGCTACAGCAGTATGATTATTCATGATTTCATTGCGCTGTGATTTTTTAAGGTGATGAATTTTTTTTTAATATTGCAGCAATAATGGCGTTAGGATTATGCTAATTATAAGCAAGAAGACTCACTGTACATCTAGATCTGTAGTTGCATGCTACATATGTATGCATGCGTTACTGTACCAGTTTGCATTTTGTATATGGTTTTTTAGAAGGGATAAATTTACAAAATACATAAACATGTTGTTTAGAAACTTACCTAAATTTAATGTGTGGCTACCAGACAAACAAATAACATTTGATTGTTTGAGCAAGGCTGGGGTCTATCCCCCTCCCCCCACAAAGTAAATAAATAATTAAATAAATAAATGAATAATAAATAAAAATTAATAAATAAATAATAATAATAAAAAGATGTTGTGTAAAATTTTGAAGGACATGCATCAAGGAAATTGCTGTTTTATCTTTTATCTCCTCAGTTTTTATTCCAAATTGTGTTTGAGAAGAGCTATGATGTGGTTTTGTTGTGAATATGTCTTTGAACAAAGATTTGGGGACCATTTGTGAAAAATAATTTTCGTTGCTTAGCAATGGAATGTTTTAAGTAAGATATATTTTTCATTGTTTATTCCAAAAATGAATCAATGAAGTATAGAAGTACTTAAGCATATGAAAGCTTTTGCTTTGAAGTTATTGTGCCAGTTAACAATAAGCCTATCCTATCATCATAATGATTTTCCTTCAGGTACGAACACCGTTCTTCTGGATGACATCCATATCTGTGGAGGTTGTCGAGAAGAGTTTGTCAACATCGAGACATTTATACGCCACAAAACCCAAGGATGTCCAGTCCTGCTGAGTCGTCTGCAGAAGTCCATGCTGGCAATGGCGCAGTCCGGCACCATCCCACAAGTCTCGAAAACCAGCACCACGCCCACAACCTCCAAGCCTGTCAACACCTCTGTATCACCATCCAAAGTGACACAGCCAGTAGAACAATCTGCAGCAGAGAAAAAGAGAGAGGAGAAAAGGAATGAGTTAAGGAATAGCAGTGGTGAGGGGGGTGGTGATGGTGTCCATGGTCATGATAACAGTGATGGCGATGATGATGACAATGAGACAAACATTTTGCCGTCTGCTGGTTCCCCGTCACTGGCGTCACCCACGGCAATGATTGGCACCCCTGGTGCCATGGACCCTGGCACCGCTGATGATATTAACATTGACACCACTGGTGGGGTACCAACCCTGGCAACCCCGGCCCCAAGGGACCCAAGTCCCACCCCAAAGGAAAGTGATGATAGTGAGAAACAGGAAGGGGTTACTGTGACAAATATCCCTTACAGGTCTCGGTCTCCCATCAGGCTGACCAATCTAGGTAAAATTTTTGTATTTTTTCTGTGGTGAGAAGTTTTAAGTAAGACTGAGACTTAAATTAATTTGCTGTGAAATTGAATGAAAAGCAGACATTTTAAATAATTATTAATTTCTGATTGTGCTGTGGTAAATTAAATTGAAAACACTAGCTGTACTAGTTGCTGTCTTTTTCATTATATAAAAGTTGTTAGAAACAAGTCTTCGGTGATTATGTTGTATTGTGTTTTATGAAATAGATTTCACATATGAATTAGTAAAAGATCACCATATCTCTAAGTTACAACCCAATATGTCATGAATACAAGTTTTGCATTTTGGTTAATTGTGTCCTTCACATGAGGTTGATTCCCTTGATGTCAGTGTTTATTTCAAGGTTTTTTTTCCCAATACCCCACATTATTTTTTACACTCAGCAGGCCCGAGAGGATATATTCCGCGGGGAGAGAAGAAATTCAAGTGCCAATATGAAGGCTGTAGCTACGAGACCCAGTATAACAAAGACCTGGAACGACACACGCGTATCCACACGGGCGAGCGACCCTTCATCTGTGAGGAGTGTAACAGGTCCTTCAACCGCAAAGATAAGCTGAGGATCCATGAGAGGTCCCACTATGGAGAGAAGCCATTTCAGTGCCAGTACTGTAAGTGTGTTGATGTGCTAAGGTATTGAACATATGTTGTATTTGTTTAATGGTGATACAAATTTGAAAATCTTTTAAAAGTTGATTGTGATATATATATTGCATAAAATCAAGTTGTAACCTGTGTTTTTGTTGTCTAAATGATTGGTCAAAATTTCCTTGAAGTAGATATGATCCTGTTTGTTTAGTAAAATATGCTTAATAATTGATTATCTTTCAAGAGATAAATATTTATCAGAATGTGCCTTTTTTTTGCTTTAGTTTCAGCTTGTTATGCTGTCCTTTCATTAAGTTGGTTGGATATGTTTACTGAATCAAAATATAATTACATGAAGAAAAAAGTGATTGATTCTTATACTGTTATTGCTAACCATCCATTTTAAATAATTACATAAAAATTAATAACTTTTCTCTTCGTGCGTTTGTATTTTGGTTTAATATATGAGTGTGTGACTAACAAAAAAGAAAAGTCATTATTTTCTTATGACATTGTATAAACAGTATCTGAGACATAAATTTCTTTTCCACAGAAAAACAAAATCACTGTTAAGCCATTATTGCAACTAGTTCACTCTCAGACCAGAAAACCTGGGTATTTTATTTATAAAATAGAAGAAATCTGTATCAAAGGCTAAAGAGCGAGGCAACTGGATATGTTTCAAGTTTCAAGAAAACTATCGCCATATTTAAAGAAGTTTCTAGTCGTTTCTTTTCTCGTTCTCAGGTTCCTACACTAGTTGGGACAGCAGCAGTGTAAGAAGTCACGCCAGAATTCACTCAAATGATCGGCCTTATAAGTAAGTGCCTCCCCCTCTAGTCAGTTATAACAGTTATGCTGTTTATTTTCTCGTCCGCAGGTACATACAGTACTGGAGATAGCAGCAGTTTGAAGAAACATATTAGAATTCACACAGATGAAAGGCCTTTTAAGTAAGTGCTGACAGAAGACTACTGCTACCTCCTTTTCCTGCTGTTGTGTATGTTCTTTTGAAATCTAGAACAAAGATTTTTATTCCTCGGACCTTTTTGTTCTATTTTCTTAGATGGATTCAATTGGCTGTAAAGATCTTTATGTGTATGATGCCCTCAGAATTGTTCTTATAGCTGAAAATAGAGTGCATTTTCTTTCGGAAAATTTTGAGAAGTTTTAAATCAAATATCTTTGTATACATTAACTGGCCACCAAATTTTATGTGGAATTCATTGCAGTTTCATCTGTTCAGTTTTTGTGACATTGTCATTATTTTAATTGTGAAATCCTTTGGATTTTTAACAAAAGTCAAGTGCTAAAGCTTTGAGTACAGTTTTATTTAATTGCATTGCATAATGATACTACTTTTGATAATAATAATAACAAATGTTCATAAAGCTTTTGTATGTTTGTTATTGAAAACAAATTAACTGTATTTCTATCTCAAGTTGATACCAAAAGATACAAGACTTGCTTAAAATACTGTTTTTCTATTAGAAATACTGATATGCTACTAAAAAAGGATTTTCTTTGCGTTTCAGGTGTCAGATATGTCCGTATGCTAGTCGTAACTCCAGTCAACTGATAGTTCACCTACGCACGCACACGGGAGATGCGCCCTTCCAGTGTTCCATCTGCGATGCCAAGTTCAAGATCAACTCGGATCTGAAACGGCATATTCGAATTCACACTGGAGAGAAGCCATA